CTTCCAATAAACTGCCTATTAATCTTGAGATAAGTCCAAGGACGTTTTATTTCTTGACATCAGTGAAAAGAGAAACCTCTACAGAAATTATTTCTTTGAAATTTTATGCAAATGTGAAAGTCAGGTTTGCTAACTTCGACGAGTTTAAGGATTTGGGCAAAATCGACGTCTTGTGACCCCGAATTTACGAATTCCCGTTAGTAACTGTTGTAATAAAAATACTGTAGAGGATTATATATTATCTACTTTTTCGCCATGAAACAACGGACCCTAATGTGATAGTGACGTCAGTTTGGTATCCAAGGCATAGTTGAGGCGTTGAACTCCTCATGGGACCAACTTAACTGAGAGAATGAAGTTCCTTTTACATTTGAAGTTTGAATCAGTTGAGTTCGTTCAACTGACTTTGGATTGCCCAACACATTTTGTCCGTCTGCTTCAGACGAATAGAACGTGTGAAGATTGACTGAGGGACAAACTTCGATCTCTCTTTGAATCGAACTTAATGAATAAATTACAAATTGCTTTGTTTGAAATCCCGCTAAGCTAAAAATTCGTTTTTGCTGCTCTGAATTAGGTTTGACGAATGATGTTCGAAGCTTTCGCTCTGACAAAGGGCTGACGCTCAAAACGTCAGCTTTAGAAACTCAGTCGCCTTGACAAATCCGGCAAATTATATTCTCAAACCCTCCGTCGACGCAGCAACAAACAGTTACTTTAGAAACATTTCCCCTTCAATGCTCTAGGAATACGCATTCATGCCGGATTTAAACGGTCACCTAGATACTAAAACCTTTCGTGGACAAATTCACTTTCAAATCATTCATTTCATGAATACCTGTTGAAGACAATTACTAATGATGTCATAAAAACGTCGCTGCTACGATGAACTGGAGCCAAACTAAGGCTCCATTCAGAAAGTACAGAACGACTTTTGAAAAGTAATTGTGTCCAAGAAAGGTAAGCCATAAAATTTTAGCAGCTTTTGTTATTTAGTTTTAAAGGATCGATACAAACACCATCTATTTCGTTCTCTGAGCTTTACTGTGAACCTGTATGAAAGAGTGCTGTGATATTCATCTTTGACTGGCAGTTACTACTACTCTTTAGCCCTTTATTTGAGTTACGTTTCATACAATTTCATAAACATCGACGCAAATCACTTGGTGAAAATCACTCTGATTTCGCTGTCCGCAAAGAACATTTTTTATTTCATTTGACCGTTAACGTTTCTTAATTGAGACCCTACACATAACATCTGTGTCACTTTCGCTTTTCGCACTATACCACTACATCTTAGCTTCCATTTTATGCAAGGTTCATTCGACTGGCTACACATCACGCCTAAGTCAAAAGCTTCGCACCTTTCTTAATCCATTTCTCTTAATTTACCGTCCTATGCAAAACAACATCTATTGTTCAAATGTTTCGGCAAATTACGAGCTGGAATCATGGAAACTCGCTGTCCACGTTTATCCAATACGCATCTACCAACTTGCTTAAACTTGAAGGTTACCTAAATAACTTGGACAACTGAATATAACTACGTACTCAAGTTAAACATTACGTAATCAGCACTAAGTTTGGGTCTTATTTGTAATCAACATATCATTGCGTCTTCCAAAAATTTAAAGCATTAAAAAGGCTAATTTTGTAATAAGTCGAGACCATTACAGGATAAAGATGTCACAATCATATTATCGACCTTACCCATGGAGAGAAGTTAATCGGTATATTTTATAACATACTTCATACTTTTTTGGACTTCGAAACGACCTTTTGCTAAATATTTACAAATAACAACTTGCAATGTTCGCCTCGTGGCGATAGTTTTGTCCTTTAAGACGCGAGAGAGCAAGATAGTGAGTCTGAGTCCAGTAAGCTTCTTTGAACACAAACTTTAATTACTTGAGAGGCAGGTTACCTTTAGAGCTAACGAAACTACCACAACGCGATAGCGACTCTCTTATTATAAAATGTTTTTGTCGTGTAACCCGAGAACTGACACGTGAGTAGTCCGAAGTGATTACATAACCAGTCCAGAAAGTTACATAACAGTTGAGAGTTACATAAGAAAGAAAAAAGCAAACGTTGATGTCCGGAAGGTTTTTTGCATATCATAACATCTTTCCCTTTTTCCTATTTTTCTCTTTTTTTTTTTTTTTTTTTTAACTATAACTCAATGTCAAACTTTTTAGGTGGCTTGATCAATCGTCCATGTCGTGTCCGTATTTCAGTTGTAGTAGCTTCGTGAGGTGGTCTTGCACTCAGCTCTGTTTGAGGTGTTGGGGGTAGTTGAGATCTTGGAGGGGACATGGATGTTCCTACTTGAGAACTTGCTGGAGGGGGTTGGTCCTGTTCCTGCAGATTGTCTGGAACGGTCAGGTCATCTTCGTCCATTTTGAAGGGGGTTTCTTGAAGTGGTTCCATGGTAGAACGCAACTGCTTGCGATTACGCCTGTAGAATCTACCATTGACTTCAACCTTGTAACTGCGAGATGCCACTTTAGAAGAAACAACTGCTTTTGACCACTTTGTTTCTCCAGGCATCTTCATGCGCACTATGTCACCTGATTTGAGTTCTGAGAGTTGTTTAGCATGTTGGTCGAAATGTTTCGCTTGCTTGACACGATCCCTTTTGAGAAGATCACTAACTGTTTGGTCAGTCTTGAGTAAAGACTCTGAGAAGGGTAGAAGTGTCTTAGTTCGGCGACCAAAAAGTCGTTGGCATGGAGACATACCTGTCGCAGCAGTGGGGGTGTTGTGGTGATCCAATAAACCAAGATATGGATCGGATTGAGACAGAAGAGCTTTCTTCATTAAAGTCTTGCAGGTTTTGACTGCGCTTTCGGCCATCCCATTAGCTTGTGGATAGTGTGGTGAGGTGGTGATATGAGTGAACTTCCACGTTACTGCAAATCTTCGGAACTCTGAGGATGAGTACTGAGGACCGTTGTCAGAAACTACGTAATCGGGTACCCCATGTCGCGAAAAATGCATCTTCAGCTTGTGAACGACTGTCTGGGACGTAGTATCGGCAAGATGATCCAGCTCGATAAAGTTGCTGTAGTAATCAACTAATACGAGGTAGTTTCGGTTCTCGAAGGTAAACAAATCTGTTCCAACTCGTTGCCATGGCCTGTCAGGAACTGGGTGAGGCTGAAGAGGTTCACTGGCTTGTTCAGGTCTCACACTTTGGCATATAGAGCATTTATCAATACGATTCTTGAGTTGTGCAGACATTCCTGGCCAGAAGAAAACCTCTCTGGCCCTTCGAAGGCATGCTTGGAGTCCCTGATGGGACTTGTGTGTTTCCTCTATCATGTCACGGCGAAGGCTCTCTGGGACAACGATCTTCGTTCCTTTGAAAACTAGGCCATTTTGGAGCGTCATTTCATCTCGGTATTTGAAGAAAAGCTGTGCGCTTGTAGGTACCATGGAAGTTTTTGTAGGCCAGCCAGCGCGTATAACTTGTGACAACGCTAGTAAAGATTCATCCTTGGCCGTTTCCACTTGAAACTTGGCAAGTGTCGACTCTGATATCGATAAGTCTTCAACAAAGTTGACAGTTTCTAGATCTTTATAGCAGGATGAGGTGCTAGCATTTGGTACCTTTGACTGCTTAGGTAGAACGCGAGAAAGTGCGTCAGCGATGTACATCTCTTTGCCTGGCTTGTAAGTGAGATTCAGGTCAAATCTTTGAAGACGTAGCATCATACGCTGTAATCTCTTAGAAGCTGTATTGATTGGCTTCTTCTGTATAGCAATCAGTGGCTTGTGATCTGTTTCGACTGTGACGTGCTTGCCATAAATGTAATGCTCGAAGTGCTCACAAGAGAATACAACAGCTAAGAGCTCCTTCTCAATCTGTGCGTAATTTTGCTCTGTCGACGTCAGTGCCCTGTTGGCGTAGTGAACTGGCTGTCCTTCCTGAAGTAGAGTTGCGCCAATGCCATACTGTGAGGCATCGCACTGTATAGTGACATTCTTACTCACGTCAAAGTACTGTAGGAGTGGGGCTTTAGTGATGAGCTCTTTTATCTCCTTGAAGGCTTTATCTTGGGGGTGTTGCCAATGCCATTCTATTTCCTTCTTTTCCAACTGTCTTAAGGGCTGTGATGCTGTAGACAGATGCTGGCAGAATTTCGCCAGATACTGCACCATTCCCAGAAACGTTCTGAGTTCAGCGAGATTGGTAGGCACTGGATAGTCCACTATAGCTTGTACCTTTGACGGGTCAGGTTTTAGACCTTCCGCTGTAAGGAGGTGTCCTATGAAAGGAACTTGTGACTGTCGAAGTTTCAACTTCTCGCTGTTGAGAGTGAGGTTTCTTTCTCTTGCGCGACTGAGGAAAGCCTTGAGATTCTGATCATGGTTGGCAATTGCAGCTTCATTAGAGTCTCCAAAACCGCAAACTAGGAAATCATCGGCGATGACTTCAACACCTGCGAGTCCTTCTACTAGCTCGTGCATTCGTTGTTGCCATACTTCTGGGGCTGAGTTTATTCCGAATGGCATTCTGAGCCATCGATAGCGACCAAAAGGTGTGTTCATGGTTGTCAAGTAACTACTCTTTTCATCAAGTTGTACCTGCCAGAATCCACATTTGGCATCTAACACGCTAAAGACTTTAGCACCACTAAGGCGAGTTGCTACTTCCTCAATAGTTGGAAGTGGATAATGCGAGCGTTTCACTGCGCGGTTGAAATCTCGAGGATCCAGACATACTCGTATTTTCCCGTTAGATTTCTTCACTATGACAAGGCTAGAGACCCATGATGTCAGTTCAACTACCTTGGCGAGGATACCACTCTTCACCATGTTATCCAGCTCTAACTTGAGGGTATCTCGAAGTGGGACTGGCACTTTACGAGGGGGATGTACCACCGGGCGGAAACCTTCGTCCACTTGAATGGAGTAGGTTCCTTCAAGGCAGCCAATTCCAGTGAAGATATCGGTAAATTCATATAGGATAGGATCACTTCTAACATTTGACGAGACGTTAATTCTTTCGTCGTGAATCGCATTTACGTCAGCATCCAAGATTTTGACCAGGTTCATCTTTTCACACGTCGTTCGACAGAGGAGGGGTGTCAAATCTTGCTTCACAATGTGATAAAGAACTCCATATTTTCTTCCTTTCCGTTCAGTAAGTAGGCGGATTTGACCAAGTGGCCAGACTACAGTCTTGTTGTGCATGATGAGCCTTGTAAACGACTGTTCAAGGTTTGTACACTGTTTGTCTCCTGTAGCCCGGATGTAGGCACTTTTGGGGAGAATATTACATGAAGCACCTGTATCAATCTGAAGTTGTACTTGGGCATTATTGTTAAGGCACGCCGTTACATAAGCTGATGTGGGGGAGGGTTTGTGGTTGTAGATTTCACAATCTTGTACGTGATTGACAGAGCGAGAGTGGCATTTTTTTGCAAAGTGTCCGTCTCTGCCACATTTGGTGCATTTCTTGCCAACTGCTGGACAAGCTGACTTTTTCATCTCGTGAACAGTACCACAAAACTTGCATTCTCGTGTGTATACATTGTCGGGGTTACCAGAACTTTTTTCTCTTGACTTCCACGGAGGAGTCCGCTTCTTACCTGAAGTGTGTTTATGCGGTGTTGTATCCTCAGTCTGGGTCTTAGGCGGTTTCGTTTTCTTGGCTTTTACCCTATTCACATTAGCTTCTTCAGTTGTCATGTCTAAAGCGCGTATATCAGTTAGCTCTTGTGTTCGCAGGATATCCAACGCGTTATCCAAAGTGAGATCTTTCTTCTCTAAAAGTTTCTTGCGTGACCGATCATTCTTGACTCCAAGGATGAGGCGGTCTCTTATCAAGCTGTCTCTTAGGGTTAGGAACCCACAGTGTTCAGAAAGGCGCATCAGTGCTGTGCAATATTGATCGACACTTTCTCCTGGTTCTTGCTCTCTCTTGTTGAAGAGGTACCGTTCATACGTCTGATTTCGCTGCGGCAAACAACGAGATTCAAATTTAGCCAGGACGTCATCAATATTGTCAGCGCTTTCGTCTTCAGCGAAGGTAAAGGTGTCAAACAATTGGACTCCTTCTCTTCCAACGATGTTAAGAAAATGAGCAACACGGACTGGGCCGTCCTTTTGACTTATCCCAGCCGCCCGTTCATAGATTTGCCATGCTCTCTTAAAGTGTAACCAGTTATCGCCTCTACGTGACCTGTCTTCGAGATTAAGAGGATCTGGAGGTTTGGCTAGCGGTACTGTGGTGGTATAGATCGGTGCAGCAGCCGATGAACCAGAAGGTTGCTGACTAGCAGAGGTCGAGGTCATGACCAATATAAAATAAACTTCCACCAACAACAACAAAGCTCGTGAAACGTGACTCACCTCCTGACACCAAGTTTTGTCCTTTAAGACGCGAGAGAGCAAGATAGTGAGTCTGAGTCCAGTAAGCTTCTTTGAACACAAACTTTAATTACTTGAGAGGCAGGTTACCTTTAGAGCTAACGAAACAACCACAACGCGATAGCGACTCTCTTATTATAAAATGTTTTTGTCGTGTAACCCGAGAACTGACACGTGAGTAGTCCGAAGTGATTACATAACCAGTCCAGAAAGTTACATAACAGTTGAGAGTTACATAAGAAAGAAAAAAAGCAAACGTTGATGTCCGGAAGGTTTTTTGCATATCATAACAGCGATGACAGAAACCATTGCGCAAGCACAGGAATCCGATTTCGCACCCATTGTCCCAACGAACCGTAGCAACGCAGCGCATTTGAACCAAATTAAATCTGAATTAAACTTCATGGTTAACTGCATGTGAGCTGAACTGGAAGCACTCGCCTCAGCCATTGTAAGTACAATGTTAATTGCCACTGCTTTCTATTAGAATGAAAATAAGTCAGAAAACTGTAAAGATAAGAAGGCGGCACATTGTTAGAGCGTCGAAAAATACGACACGGTTTGATTTGAATAAAGTTCCGTACGACCTTTGAAATTTCACAGCGAAAATAAGTTTTCAAAGGCTACCTTAAAAAAAACTGCCCCGATGCTTTTGAAATTGCAGGTTCAAACAGGGCCAGGGAAAGCATATGTCAGAAACTTTGACCAGGATGTCATCATGGCGGGTGGTTCCTGTCCTCTTGGGTGAAACAAAATCCTCGTCGATGGAAGTTTAAGCTATTTTTGTGAAATTTTTTTCATACAGCTATGAAGGTAGTTCGTTTGTGGCTTTCAAAACTTCTTCGTAAGCCCAGGTTAAGTTTGATTGTGATAATTTGCGCGTCGACTCTTCTGTTGTTATTGGGAATGTTTGGAGAGTGGAATTACACGAAGAAGACATCGTATCGCATTATTTCGCCAGCTGAATAGTAAGTCTTTATTGTCTTCTTTTTCGTTGAAGTGGTATTTATGCTCAGCAGCGGAACACCACGCGAATCTTAAAACGAATTTTCTTAAAATGGACGAATTCCTCGTCCGACAGTTAGAAATATTCCTCAGAGCACAAGATGTTTGTTTTATTTGAACAGCGATTCCAAAAACGATGGATTCCAAATTATCGTGTCACTGCATTCTCAGAACAGAAAGTCTTCTATTTAATCATTTTCTGTGGGATATTGATCAAATAAAGCCTTTAAGTGCTACTGTGGTTCTTTCTTTATTCACTCCGAGCTTTCGCCGCCGTTCTACGGCATCATCAGGGAGTTAATCATTTTCGTTTTGACAGTATACTCAGTTTCAGGGAGGATACAGCTGACGAAAACCTGACAGTCGTAATTAGTTGTGTGGGTCGGGAAGCAAATGCAATGCAAATTGGTGGCACTTTCAACGATTTTATGCTAAATTGAAATAAAATTGCTCGAAGGTTTGTTTTGGGATTACAATCAATAATTATAGCCACCGCGCTGGGCTAACGATTTCTTACAATTGAGGACATAGGGATTAGTTTGGACATTTCGTCAAACGAACCATTCGATTCGATTCTCTGTAAGAAAGAAAATCAGTCAGAAAATTGTAAAGGCAAGAAGGCGGCACATCGTCAGAGCGTTGAGAAATACGATACGGTTCGATTAGAGTAAAGGGCAGTACGAGGCATTTGAGAATCGCCTTACATTTTGGAAAGATGTCTGTGTAACTATAACCCATGCTATAGTTATTGTTGTTTTGGTGTCGCTGAGTTTTGTACGAGTTTCGTCCTGCGGGCCTTGTTAAAATGTACAGGGCAATCGATACCCAAAAATATTATATCCAACTTCAACTTTTTTAAAATGTTCATGTATATAAAGATTTAGGATTTTTTACCGCTAGTGATCTTTCATGGAACCAACGTTTGGGTTAAATAACTGCTAAGGTTTGTAGGGTATTAGTGCTGGTTAAAAGGACTTGAAGGGATGTAAGGTTACTTCCCACATTCAGAGGCCAAAAAAATCGATTTTTCTTCTATTTTACTACACTGTATTCAAACATTCAACCTAACGTTTATTTAAAAAGAATGACTGAAATCTTTAAAAGCACCCGAGCTATATAGAAAAACGTATTTTCACATTAAAGTTAATGAATAAGGAAGGTGTCATAATCTTGTACTTTTGCGAATCTCCTGGGGGAGTTATTGCGGTAACCTCTCATCTTATTTACATGAAAGTAACAGTAAAAGCTCTTTGATTATGGAAAAAAATCTTTGCTCATGGAAAAATCAAAAGCAGAAGAAAGTCGTCAGGAAAAAAAAAAAGGAAAAAAAAACAAGCCCTAAGAAGAAAGAAAGAATACCATTCTGTCAAGAAAAGAAAAAACTTCCTTTGTGATAGAGACTGGTACTGGGGGAGCTCTTCACCGGCATCCAGATTTCAAACAAAGACGTTGCTGTTAAACCAAAATTTGCCATACATGATGGTCATTATTGTGTCATCCTCCTCAATGCTCCTCTAAGTGATCAAGATTTAAAAAAAAAAAAGAAAAAAGTGTCTGCAATAGGTTACTTTTCCCAGGAAATCTTGATCCCTCATCATTGACACCAGGAGGTCCTGTTGTCTTATTGGTTTGCGGTTTCAGGAGGCGAGATAATCTCCTGATGTGGTGTGAGTCATTTGCAAACCTTTATGAGCTAAAATCTTGCATTTGATTTTAGAAGGAATACACCCACTTTGAGGGAATTTATAGGGTATATGGATTTGACTGATTTTCATCACATTTTGCCAAAACATCCTAGGAGTAATGACAAACAAAAGTGTGTCAGGAAATTTTGATATTTAAAATAGTTGTCTTGTGACATCTATTTACACAACATGACTTGGATATTTTTAGCTACTCCAACTTTAGATGCCAATATCTACACAACCCAACAGAATATCCAAGAAAGCCTGACACACTTTTGTTGATTGATGCCTTGTGAATGAGACTGTGCAGTGACTGCACTGCAGCATGCGATACCAGATAAATTCAATAGACACCCACAAAGATGGGAAGTAACCTTAAATGACATTGATACTATGAAAACACTTATCATCACTCATGTGAGACCTTTACTTAAATATTCAATTGATACTTTGAACCCTCATACTAAATGTAACATTGTTAAATGAGAGGCTGTCTGGCGTAGAGCCACCAGATGGATTACTGAGCCTAATGATGATTGTGATTCTAGATTATCTAAGCTTAAATTGTTGTCACTATCCAATAGGAGGTTCATGAAAGATGTTGCATTTTTGTTCAATGTAATTGATGGACATTGATAGAGATATTGCAAACAAGCTCCAATTTTGTAACAACAGAAATGTAAATAATAACTTGAGTGAAAATGACACACAGGACCTTGCTCCAAATTTTAGATGAACTAATGGTTTTAAATATATTTTTTTTCTCTAATCAAAGTAGAGAATCAAATGGTATGGCAGCCTTTAAAAGGAATGTTTTAAGTTTTATCCCAAGCATGATGCATCAGTGTTTAATTTAATTCAATACATTGACTATTTGTAATCTAGTGGAGTGAATCTGTTTTAATAAATGGCACAACTCAAAAATATTCAGCAATACCACATACCAAAACATCTAACAAGTTACTTGATATCCAACTGCTTTATTTTATATGCATTTCTTTCAGAGTGGTTTAAGCAAATCAAATAGAGAAGTGGTGTGTGACAGGTGTTGCATTACATTAGCATCAGATTGGCTTATCAGAAGTCAACTTGTCAATTAAGGTTTCAGAAAGATTTAATTCAACCATTTTTCTCAAATTGTACACATTTAAAAGTACTGCAAGTACAAAAAAGATTTCTATCAATGAAAAGTGTTTGAATAATTTATCAACAGTGACGAAACCTTATCAATCAATCCTAAGACTAACCCTGACCCATATGTTTACTCTACTTAATGCTGTTGGGTAATAAAGAAATATTTTGACCAGGCATGAGGTCAAGATGGCTGGATATTGGCTTAAGTTCTTATTTTGCATTTATATGGACAGAGATGGTTGAATCCAACACCCTTGGACAATTAATATAACAAAATGGTGTTTGTTTTGTTTCAACAGTCACCAGTCCTTTCAGATGTTAACCAACATAGATATTGAGACTCTGAAGACTCATCAGAACTGTTCTCCAGAAACACACATCCTCTTTCTGAAGACACACAAAACAGGATCTTCTACAATATCAAACATTTTTTTCCGTTATGGAGATTCTCGCGGTCTTCAATTTATTCTTGGTTCAGACACACTGGTTGGTTGGCCAAGTCCTTTCAGAATTTCACACACCCTACATCCTAATGGATTTCAGCCAAATTTTCTATGTAGTCACACAAGATTTAGTAAGAAAACTATGAATTACTTATTTCCAAAAGACAGGAGTAAGTACATAACAATCCTTCGACATCCTGTGGACCAATTTGAGTCTGTTTTCAATTACATGGGGTTTGGTGAGGTATATAATTTAGGGAGTGATGCGACAGAATCTATAAAAGGATTTCTTAGGAAAGGAATAGAGTTTAAAGACATCTTTAGGGCAAGATCATCTGTTCTAGCAAGAAATCCAATGATGTTTGATTTAGGTTTGGACTACAAGTTTTACCAGAATGCATCAGCTGTGAAAGACTACATTGCATTTTTGGAAAAGGAGTTTGACTTAGTCATGATAACAGAGTATTTTGAGGAATCTGTGGTGCTGATGAAGCGTTTGCTCTGCTGGTCATTCATTGATATTCTTCACATTAAAACTAATGAGAGAATTGCCCAAGAAAGAGCAGAGTTCGGTGGAAACTTGAGAGAAAACATAAAACGCTGGAACAAAGCAGATATGTTACTTTATGATCACTTCAATAAAACATTTTGGTATAAAATAGAAATGGAAGGGAAAGAGTTTTATGAAGATCTTGCAACTTTTCGTCGACTGAAAGAGGTTTTACACAAAAACTGTTTTGGAGAAGCAACAGTTGTGGAGGTTTATCCTGGCAAGTATGCAAAGACATTGTCTTTAAATCCAAACGTATCAGGAGTGAGCAGAGAGGTATGCAAAAAACTTATTGTAAAGGAAAACAGCTACCTAAGTTATTTAAGACAGAAGCAGTTGTACAAATCACCAGGCCCTATTGACACAACAATAATTGAGGCTGACCAACCTAATATCAGCTGGAGTGTATCAAAAGATTTTCAATATGATCCTCTACCAATATAATCTAGTATTGAGAGTATAGTGCATACTGTTAAGATAGAGCATACTGTTAAGATAGAGTTTAAATTAGATACGAGTTTGAAATTACTGATGCTATAGTCATTCATGTATTAAATACTATCACACCTACAAAAGACAAATTTGTAAAGAAGTGTCTAAAGTAATCCAGAATTGCACATATTTTGCATTACTTTGCTCTCTAATTGGTCCAGAAAACTTGCACCACTGAACCAATCAGATGCAAAACTAATACCAATCTCAGTTGCTTGTATTTCCTGTACTTTGCATGGTTTACTCGTTTTTACGTCAAGTTCTCATAGGCTCTTCAGGGTATTTGGCATTGAATGGAGAAATTACACGTCAGTCTCTTCTGGGAGTAACAGAAATATTTTACCATTAAGCTTTTCATTTGTAGCAACACTTGTCAATAACAAATAACTTTTTGCTATTTTTGCTGCATCCAAGGGATGGTGCAGCAATTATGAACACATTCACTATCAAACCTGACCAGTACAATAACAGAAACAGTCTAAAAATTCCATGTACCTTCCTCTTTAACTTTGACTGGTACAACTGAATTTAGTTTGAACTGTTTGATAATTTCTGGATGGATAGTTTTTTATAAATGATGCATGGACTTACATTTCTGAAAATATTCCTTAAATATCACAGTGACTCAAGATGTTCAGATCAGAATTTTATCTACTTTAATCAATAGTTTGAAAGTTTCTCTTTCTAGAGTTATATCTTATTGCATTCATTAATTGCTATTTAAATGTGGACATATTTATTGATTATATTTAAATAGAATTTGAGCCCCTAGAATAAATAAAATATTTCATACTATTTTTAAAAACCAGATCATTGTGTGGATCAATTTTTCCTTGAGGCACATGTAAGTTTGAATATGCCTATTCTTCGGCTGTTTAGCTGCTGACTCTTTTTGCCAATTGTTTTGGCATCAACCAATTCTGTTTAAGAGGTCCTAGTTCGATACCTTGGTGGGTCATTGTGCAGTGTTCTTGGACAGGGCACCTCAAACTCAGACCCTCTTTCTAACCAAGAGTTCCTATTAAATGGGCTTGGAGAAACTTGCAGAAACACCTGTTGAAGTGCTGAGGAGGGGGGGCTGCTCTGTGAGGCACAGGCAACCCATCCTAGGGGGGGGGGGGGGGGGGGGAGGTAATTGCTTCATGCTACAGAAACTGGGATAAGCCCTTTAGCACGATGCTGACTTAGGAAATGAGTGCAAGAGGTTGGTCAAATATGTCACTCATATCTGAAACATAAAAATGTATGAAAGGAATATATTAAAAAATCTTTATCTAATCATGAGACACTAACAGTTCCTAGACTTGAAAATTCACTGGAGCCATCCTTCTTCACTTGTATACTTGCTCTCAAGTTCAAAGCTTGATTAACTTTTGATAAATATTTGAAGACAGATGTTAAAAAAAAGAAGGTCTTTGGTGGTAATACACGGTTGATTGGTAAAGCAGTAGAAAAAATCCTTTGATCCATAGAACCTGTCATTGAAAATTTGTATGTTCTATCTGTGCATACATTTGTCACTTCCAGTGTGAAGGAAAATGTCCCAAAATCCCTTCTCAAGAACAGCAAACAGTTGGAATCTAGGTTCTTCACTTTTGTTTCTGCTCCAAACATTTCCCGTGGAACACCGTTCTCCAACAATACTCCATTTTTAGTATTGGAGGTTTGATTTTTTGCACATGCACAGAGCTTGATATCTACTGACTTGTCTTGGCAAGTTACAAATTTGTTGTACTTTGTCACTCTAACAAAACTAAGAAAAAATACTCCTTGTCTTGGTTTAGAGTACTGTTTGACAGAGACTTTATAGATTTCATCCTCTTGGTATCCATTTGGAGGAACCACATGTACATCCATTGTTGTTAAGATGAATTCTCCTTGGAAACGTTTCATAACATCAGTGAACGATTTTCCAACAAGGCGCTCACAGTTTCCATAACCTTGGTTTTTCTTTGAGTCTTTATCCTCTAATAAAAAGGTAACAGATAAAATATTCAAAAAGTGAGGTCATCACAAATGAAAGCAAAGCCTGTGGTGTATTCTCATGCAGCACACAACCTTCTATCTCTTTTTAGATCCCATGAGTGACCCAGATAGAATTTCTCTCTACAGTACCAAGACAGTATCAAGCTGACAAGTTTTGAGAATCAAGAAAAATATCAATAAGGGTGTATTAGTTGATCCAAAACCAAATTCTCTAAACTTAAATCATAAGAATTGTATGACAAACAGAAAGAGAGTTGCTAATGAAATCTTAGGAGTTAAAGTTTTGAGCCATGTCCCATTTCTTACTTTATCAAAAATGAAACAAAATTCTGGAACATGATTGGTTATCACAAGCTCAATTTGAGCACTTATAGGACAGGTTAAGTGTCATGCTTGTAATTGGACAGTGTAATAGGACAGTTGAAATGTCATACCTGTGAGTAAGCACTGTTGTCATGCATTTTGTTTAACTCTTTAACTCCCAGATCAAATTTGTAATTCTCCTTACTGTCAATCATACAATTCTCATAATATTAGTTCAGAGAACTTAGTACTGAATCAACTAATTATCCCCAAATTGACATTTTTCTTTATTTATATCTCTTGTCTGATTGATATTGTATTGATATTGTAAGGAGAAATTCTGTCTTGGTCACTCATGGGAGTTAGAGGGTTAACCAATGTTTAGTTTCTTTCTCAAATTTTGTCATAGTTTTGATCAAATGGTTACAGGACTTCATGTCCTCCAATTCTGTCTGTAATCATGCAGTGTTCTCATTATTACTGAAGTGGACTCCTGTTTTGCGTTCATCTGAATTTGTTTGTTACTCGTATGATTACAGACCAAACTGTACTCCCCTCAGTCCTATTACCATTAATTATTAATTAGTATAACCATTACAATTTCCTTGAGTATGATTAATTGATGAGCTGCCTTTTTTTTCACTAATTCTGTATAATAGAAACGAGATGGTTACATCAGCCAGTCAGATCAGTCGTACAGGCTTCATCTTGCCCATCTCAGCTCTAAAGAGAACCAGCTTCCAGGTTACCCCTCACCTTTCTCATATTGCCTTTGTATGGCATCATTCATGTAACCAACTGCAGCTTCTGCAAGCCACTTATGGTCTTCTGCATCATCCTCGCATTTGCATCTTGTCAAGGGAAGCATGAATAAGTCTGCACAAGTGCGGTTAGCTGGTATTTCTGAGAATATTCCTGTAACTAGGTAATCCCTGGAGTTCCTCGTCTGAGGATTGTGCAAACTCATAAATGCATTGTGAACATCATACAACATGAACATGCGTTTTTGGTTTGTTACCAGGGCTCCCATCCTTTCTGGACCTAGTTTATCTGCAACACCATCAGGGACAATCATGAAGAACACTGGATCAAATAATTCTCTTCTGCCTTCAGGAGTGTAACTAAATGGTGTCATTTTATGGCCATGATTGGAAAATATCACAGTCAGAGTGTTAGAAAACGAAGCCATGTCTATGAAGAACTTTGCCATGTTAGCATCTAAGTTGATCATCCTTTTACCAGTTGTTTCATGTGCAGTGTTAAAATGCATGTAGGACACTAGTGGTTTAGCTTTCTCGTCTTGCTGCAAAGCAGTATACACCTTAGTGATGTAGTCCATGAAATACCAACTGTAAAACTGTCCATTAAAGCAAACTTGAGAAGGGTAGTCATAATGATTAGTTCTCTTTAAAACATAATGTAACACTGTGCAGGAGAAGTGTGTTAAGCCAAAATGATCAATTGTTTTTTGTTCCTCTTTTTCTAGAATTTCCTTCCACCTGTAAAGAAAACCATATTAAAGTCTGAAATAAACAAGGACAATTTTGCACTGCCTGGTGGGCCAGAATTAATACCTGTTTGATTGCTTACTAACAGGTACCCATATACTGGATATTTAGGCATGTGCAAGCAGTTATTAACATAAGGAAAGGGCTGGTGGGCCAACCTCACATGATTTTTCCACCTACTTTGACTGAGAACTTACCAGAAATATTACAGAGAGCATGAAACACATTTTGGCACAGAACACACGCCTTGGATAAATTTCACATTATTATTTCAGAAGGCTGAAATACACTCTTAGAGGTGCCCTTTTTAACATTTCCCCCACCCCAACAAACATGTCATTTTTTAGTGTACTGTTCTTCACCTCGTCTTCCTTGCACTGAACACCCTGTATTAATACTAAGTACATGTATTCATTTTCTACCACACTTTTGAGAGTCAAACATGTCAAATACACTAACCTGGATTTGAATTCAGCATCTCCACTGGGTACAGCACGTTTTTGATTGTTTGTTAGTATACTTCCCCAAATGTCATACCAACAAAGGTCCTCTTGAAAGAGGGTCTGGTAGCCAGCTTTCTGGAAGGCCCATACAACACCCCCATTCCTATAGGGGCCTTTGTGTTCTCACCTGAAGCACTTATCTCATTGTCATCTGCAAAACAAACTACTTCAATTAAAATCATACTCACAAATCTTCAGGTTGTTTAACAAGGACCCACCCAATTGAGACCTACTCTGAAATATAAGGTTAGCAAACTAGACTTGAAATTCATTGAAAAAATTATCTCACTCATTGAGAGTGAACATATGATTAATATCCTTCATATAAATAGGATATCTCTTGTACATAACTTACTTCCTACACCCTGGGTCAAATCATGACAGTGCTTCTGACTCAAGATTTTTCAAAGTTGCTATTTGGTGACAGAAAAATCAGAAAAAGGTCACCAGAAAAGGAAACTTTAGTTGACAACAGCTGGCGATTGTTATTGAAGGTTTGCACAACATCTCAGGACTAAACACCTAACGCTTTACCTCCCACTGGCAACCAACATGTAACTTCTTCCTATAATATTCATACATGTATATTATCCAGCAAACAAGTGATGAGAATACTAAGACTTATCAGCTAGAATCTTGATTTAACATCAAACTCTTGTAATTAATTTACAAGGAATTGTATAACAGCCAGGGGGGAGAATTGACACACAGCGAGGATAGAAACTTCATGATTTCCTTCTCTTCCACTTTCAATTTCGACGCTTAGGTTCTGATATAAATTTGTTGGTCGGAGTCGCAAGCAGAAGCGAAAAACACTTGAATATTAATAGCGGTTTTTATTCCCTGTAAAAGCAGATGTTTTCACTAGATCCTTTATAGTTGCAGCCGTCGGTACATAGTTTTACTCCTGAGTTTATCAGGCCGATTCCGTCGGTTTGAAAATGACAAGGCTTCTCTATGCTGAACAACTCTTTATCAAGATCTGTGGGATGAAAAGCTTAATAAGCGTCATGGCGAAAATATACGAGTAAAATACACTCCATGAAAAATATCTCACTCTACTTCCACAGTGGATCGCTTGTTGTCTGAACACTTACTTTGTTAACTCACTTTGTAACTGCCGCTTCGATTACTTATACACTGCTGAAAACGGATTTATCTTCCATTCTTAATCAAATGTTTAGAAACCAACGATCAGGTAATTTTACAAGCCCAAGAGCAGGGATTAGAGGGATCGAGGAGGAACTTAGTCTCGTACCCAAGCCTTCCACGGCCAAGTGGTTGTAAGTTCTGGATACGCGATTATATTAGGGGGAATCCCGGATTTTTTCACAAGGGGTTTCGCCTGGTTGCTCACGTTCTGAGCCCCTTTTAGACCGAGACATACCAATTCCACACAAACTTTCAAACCTTGCCTGGCGAAACATGTTTTTCATACTTTAAAATGTTGTTTTATTTATGAGCTCTTATATTTT